GTAAGCAGAATCAGGCAAACCTTTGATCTGTCATCACCGTCGAGCTCAAAGTCACCGTCGAGCTTAAGGAGGCCTACAATAATCGCTCCATTCTGAAGCTGCTACATAATTTCTTCAATCGGATAACTGGTGAATGGCTTCTTAGAGACACTAGCTCTGACTATGCAAATGGCTTTTGACCAGCGTTTCAGAGACGTCGTAATCGTCTATGGTTTCTCGACGACCTCGTTGAGCTCGTACCGTGAACCATGTTTCCGTGGGAAAATCTTCTGATGTCGTCGGTGTAGAAAGCCCTATGTAATTTTTGATAGAATAGAATGTGCTCTTCAATATGCAATTGAGCTCATTCGGTTTGGTTTTGGCAAAGTGTAATTAATTCTGTTTGAATGTGAATGAAGGTGACTCCCCCCCCCCCTTGTAGATATTTCACTTCGTCTCTGGCGGAAATCAGCTTGCAGAACTGTGTGTGAGCGACATGAACATCGACACCTACTGCTTCATTGTGACCATTCTGAACAACCAGCCGCCCACGGCCCGGAACATCTTCAGCCCTAGCGTTGGACCTTTTCCGAAATTGCTACGACTCCGGATTTTCCTTTCTCTTACTCATGATACGTACCTTCCCCCTTTAGGTACTGTTTGAATATAGACCTTTATCGCCGCCAAAACCTATTAGTGGCCTAATATTTATTTTGCTCGAACAGCGATAAAAATACAGGAGTAGAAATAAGGGATAGTGGGAAGGCCACAAAGAAAGTGGAGATTGGCTACCATGAAGATGAAACTAATTCAAGCTAAACAAAAGACCAAACCTTGGGAAAAAGGCCTTCTTCATCATTTCGAGGCAACATATTGAAAACAAAAAGGGGGGTCTATTCCAGTTAGGGGGGGGGCATCATGATGCAGTTTCTCGGCGACTAGTGTGAACTCGAACATTCCAGCTTTTCACGCATGTCAAGTGACTGCCCTCACCCCCACCCCCTAGACTGGCTACACTCCCCCTGGCTCGGAGTTACCCTAGCTTTCTGGGAAAACTGCATCATGATGCCCCCTAACTGGAATAGACCCCGTTCCCATTGGAGAAACGTTGAT